TCTAAACCACAATGAGGTACTGTCTCATGCCAGTCAGAATAGTAATTATTAAAAAGTCAAGAACCAATAGATGCTGGCGAGGCTGTGGAGAAATAGGAATGCATTTACACTGTTGGTAGGAATGTAAATTAGTTCAACCATTGTGGAAGACAGAGTGGAAATTCCTCAAGAATCTTGAACCAGAAATACCATTTGACCCAACAATCCCATTACTGAATGTATACCCAAAGGAATATAAATCATTTTACTATAAAGACACATGCACATGTATGTTTGTTGCAGCACTATTTACAATAGCAAAGACATGAAACCAACAGAAATGTCCATCAATGATAGACTGATAAAAAACATGTGGTATGTATACACCATGGAATACTATGCAGCCATAAAAAAGAATGAGATCATGTCCTTTGTAGGGACATGAATAAAGCTGGAAGCCATCATTCCCAGCAAACTTAACACAGGAACAGAAAACCAAACACCACATGTTCTCATCATAGCGGGAGTTGAAAAATGAGAACACATGGGCACAAAGAGGAGAACAACACACACTGGGGCCTGTCAAGGGCTTGGGGGAGACAGGAGGGAGAGCATCAGGACAAATAGTTAATGCATATGGAGCTAAAACCTAGAAGATGAGTTGATAGATGCAGCAACCCACCATGCCACACGTATAGCTATGTAACAAACTTGAATGTTCTGTGATGTATCCTGCAGCTTAAAGAAAAAAAAAAAAAAGGGTATTTTAATGAGAAAAAAAAGATCTTTGAAGACCCCCTTGGAGATGTTTGAGGCCAATTTTCAGCTTTCATTCAACCCCCATATGGTCAGTCTTTTTCCCCAAGGTGAATCCTGAGACGCCAGGGACTATGGCTTGCTTCCTCAAAATACCGTCAATGGGAATATCTTTTAAGGATCTCAACAAGAGAGACCTCCTAATCGCAGCTCGGGGGCTTTAGCCTCCGCTTTGCCCTCAGACCGTGTGCTGGCTCCACCCCACATGTGCCAGCTGCCTTCTGCATTGACCTGACTTCCACATCTGTGCACCTGGTGTAATTGCTAAATTTCTAAGCACATTTTTTTTTCTGAAGGACAATATTTTAACTTAAAATGCAGATAGTCTGCTTCTAACCAAGATCACAAGCCTTAGGTAAATTTCATTCATCAAAGAAAATCAGGAAAGAAATTTCATTACAATGAAAGCTCTTGCTTCTAGGGGCTAAGTGTGAAACCTCATGCCTTGGACCAGGTGTGTACAGTTATAGAGGAAGTTTTGCAGGAAAATATTTCACCAACGAGGTTGGGAAAGCAGCAGCACAGCAGAGTTGTGGGGTATGGGACGCAGAGTCAGATTACTGCGTCTCATTCTGCCTCTGTAATGTTTGGTCTGCACAGCTTTGGGCGAGTGACTCAGTCCTCATATGGCAGAGTTTTTGTCTGTAAAATGAAGATAGCTATAATAATTCCTCCGTACCACACTGTATTCTTGTGAGCATCAGTTGAGACAGGATAAAACGTACTCTGAACACCATATGATTCATTATTAGTATTAATTCTACATTCTTACTTGCCATTTACTTCTTTTCAGCTCCCTAAATGTCTTCAGCTTTGAATTAGGAAGGAGTTTGAGAGCTAGTACTCGCTGAGCACCAGATGTCAGTGCCACATTCTGCTAGGAGCTACAAGGGTTAACAATAAATAATAATATGTATATCATATGATGGTCCTGACCTTAAATATCTCATAATATAGTCAATGCAGACACAAAAGAAACAAATACTGAAAAAAATCAAGACAGTGTCAATTTAAGGCTAATTAGGTGAGATCATTGCTGTATGGATTCACACATAGCAGAGGTGAAGGATGGATAGTGCTGAGGTCTGGCATAGCAGGAGGGCAAGACTTTGTGAAAGAGGCACAGGAGCTTGGGCATGATGTGGGCATTTAGCGAGACGTAGCCAAGGGAAAGTTCATCCCATAATTGAGCCACTCCTGAATTGAGGCCAGAAAGGAATGACACCACAATTGAAGAGGAACAAAAAGACAGAAACCAAAATGTAGGTCTTAGCACAAGGATCCCTATCTTCCCAGAAGAAGATGGAAATGTTGGCAAATGTATAAGGAAACACGTTCACTGAAGTTGACCTCAAGGATGAGTAAGAAACTATAACATGCTCTGATTGACAAGCTTGATCAAGAGAAGAGGTGGGCCCTTGTAGTGACTCCAAATACAGTGAAATACTCATGTATGTAATGCTATAAGACAAATCAGGAAAAAAATACCTAAGGATTACATTTCATGTTTTCCAGATTCCATACCTTTTTTTAAATGATGAGCATTTTTTTTGTGTGTGTAACACATGTAAGTTACTATGCTAAGGTATAGTTTAATACAGCCACCCAATGAACTAAGTATTTTTATATGCCCATTTTGCAGATGATAAAACTGAAGCTAGAAAGCAGTGGATTAACTTGCCTACTTAAATGGCAGGGTCAGGATTTTAAATTCAATCACCTTAATAAATATTTCCTATTGTTTTAGTGTTATGAGCTAATTGTTCACTCAGGTATTGAAGTGTTGCCAATATTTATGGGAGTAACAGCTAAAATCAGGTATCTATCCATTCTGTAATTCTGTTTTTTCTGTGAATTGGGCTGTAGCCTCCATTATTCTACATTAGTGGTGGAACACTAAATATTTTAGTTGTAGAATGTACAATATACTGTCTAGGAGGCTGATTTGAAGACCACTGCTAAGCAAATGAAAAATTTCGAAAAAGACAAAAGCAAAGATGCTTGCCTGGCACTGAGAACACTCCTGGCAGTGAATGAATTGACTCTCTCTAGCATTTTTGCAATGCCAAGGACTGGGATCCCAGACAGCGCCAAGCAAAGGACTGCTGGGCTTTGTGAGATCTGGTCACCATTAAAGACAGCTGGTTAAAATATGTTTTTAACAATGCCATCTTTTTAAAAACATTACCCTAAGTTCCAGCTAGTCACTCTGGATATTTTCCCCTCTTTTCCCACCACCAAACTGAAAATCTTTCCATGTCAAAGGAAAACCGTCTAGTCCTCCCACAGCAGCCTCCTCTGCCTGAAAGTCGTGTGCAAGTGGCATTAGCTTGAGCAGCTCTACAATAGGATGAGGGAGTCTGGAATACATGAGGCTTTGTAGACAAAGCCTTTTTTTTCTATTTTGATCCAGAGCCACTTCTCGTCACTGGAGGTACTCAGGAATGTGTCCACAAGCCATGCCACAATTCAGTATGGCTGAAATATTGTTCAGAAAAATACATGAACTTTTTGTTGTTGTTTTTCTAATAAAAGTGTTTAAAACTTTGCAGAAACTTTTTGATTTTGCTAGAAAGCATCTTTATAAATGAACAACACAGGAAATTGGGGAAATTCAGACAACGGGTCACTAAGGCAAAGTTGTCTTCTCCCAAAACAAAATCAGTGGAGATAACTAAATTTTTTAAGTCCTAAAAGAAAATTAGGTTCCTCACACGTCCTCATTTAGGCTTTTGTTTGTTTGTTTTTCTGTAAGCAAGGCCTTTCAGTCAAAGGAATCCCTATGAAAATGGGCCTATTAAGAAAAATTTAGCCCCTCATTCAACTAGATAGAAATATTTAGCGCTCCAACACCTTTTGTAGATTGTGTACCTGCAGTAAGGGAAGAGACGAGTGGACAAGGGTGAGTAATCGCCACATGTAAAAATAAGCAAAAACAGAGAAGAAAAAGATGAAAAGAGATAGTAAACATGTGCACCTGTGCTCTAAGTTAAAAAAGCTGACCAGGTGGTCACAAACCAAACTCCATTCTGACACTGGCCCCTGAGTGGAGGGAGATGATTTGGAACTCATCAGTAACAAAATAAGAGAAAGTTCATTTCTAGAGACAAGTGGTGAATAGCTCTTGCTAGAGACAAACTCCTGAAAAATAAAGAATTCCTAAAAGACACAGGGAAGTAAAGAACAAAGATAATTTTTAGAGACCTGGCCATAGCTTCTTACTCTCAGTGACACTTCAGAGGGAGAAAGCTGGTTTTTCAGAACCTTTCTGTCTTCTTGTTGGCCTCAATTGGAGCACTTTATAGAGGGCTCTGACTCAGAAGGACAAACTCTTTCCTTTGCATACAAGGATCAAGTCATTATTCATGGCCCACGCTCATTTCTGCCTCCTTTCAAATTAGCAATAATAATAAACCTTTTTGTCTAGGTTGTTCAGATATTTACCTCCATCCTTCCTCTCTCTTGCAAAGTTCTATCAGTGCCTAGGGCCAGCTTAAAATGTGCTGTGAGAGGTATATGGTGAGGGAGAAGGAGGGAAAAGGCGAAGAGGGAAAGATATTCCTTGAGAAACCCATTGCAGAATATTGGTGAGCAGAGATGGTCATGCCAAATGTAAAACTAGAAGTAAGGGATATCCCACAATATGAATTTATCTTCCAGGTAGTGGCATCTGTCTTTTTGGGATCTCTTAATAACATAAGAAGACCAACCATCCCAGTTTGCCTGGGATTATCCCAGTGTTAGCACTGAAAGCTCTGCCTCTCTAGAAAAAGTCCCAGTGGAATGGGTATGAGAGCTTAGAGTAAAAGTACAAAACCCATACTGTGGCTCAAAAAAGAAAATAGGGCTGAAAGTAACACTACTTTTTGTGTCAAATGAATGTGACACAGATTATCCACCTTCTGTGGTAGCTATTGCTGTTGATTTTTTTCCCATGACTACTGAGGTTGGCAACCGTTATTTGCAGCTCACAATGCATAATGAATTATACATGGTTGTGTTGCTTCGAGTGATAAGACTTATGTATACAATTTAAGTGCAATGCAATTATAAATGTGAACAGTGGATTTTTAACTTTCCTGTGGATTAACTACAGTGCTTTGTACTGACATACTACTAGTTTAGTTTTTTAATATTATGTCTATTGTGACCATGTTTTCTAAGAGTTCATATAATGAAAATAAGAATAATTGCAATACCTACAGGTGCGTGATTTGGACCTTTCCAAAAAAGAAGGCTAGAAGACTGTGCTACTTTAACAATAGAAGGAAGGACACCTACAACTGGACTAGAGAGGTAAGCAACCAAAACAGAGCTACTGCACAATCTGGAGAAAAGCACTCGGGATGGGCATGATAAAGAGGGAATTATGATGAAAGCACTAACTTGGAGATTGAATCTCACAAGTCCAGGATGAACCACGAAAGTATTAGGTCATAAGAAGGCTGTGTGGCTCTCATCTTGGGTGCTCTGTCTGGCTTTCTCCCTCTTGAATTGCCCTCTCTGGAGAAAACCAGTTACCATGTTCTGAGGACTCTCATTCTCAAGGTGACTCTAAAGAGGTGCATGTACCGGCAACCATGTGAGTGAGCTTGAAAGTGGATCCTCCCTCAGTTGAGCTCTGAAATGACTGCAGCCCTGACTGACAACTTGGCTGCTGTATTATAAGGGACTGTGAATGAGTCTCTTGTAATGTAAGAGCTAAATTGTGCCAGAAACCCACCCACAGAAATTATGCGGTAGTACATGTTCATTGTTTTAAGCCACTAAGTTTGGGGTAATTGGTTACATTGCAGTAAACAACCAATACAATGGGTGTCTTTCTCTAAGTCTTCCTGCCACAACCCACACACTTGCTGGCACTTGTAGCCTATACTTTCCCTATTCCCTCTTGCCACACAGAATAAATGTGCCACTTGTCTGAGACTAAACATCCCTCCAGTGCCCCGAACCATCTCCTTCTGTCTATTCGGGGACCTCACCCTACCGATTAGTTATTCCTTCTGTCTTGAATTAGTGTTTTTCTCTCGTTTCTATTATATCAACCTTGAAAGATTATTCAAAACTTTCTCATAATAAACCCATCCTCAAGTGACATTTCCCTCTAGTGACTTCTCTACTATATCTCTTCCTATTCAAAGTTGAATTTTTAAAAATAGTTATCTCCATTTCCTCAGCTTCCAATTACAAACTCCATACCACCTCTATTTGAGAGGAATCAATTTAGTCTTGCCCAAACTCCATAAACTTAACTCCAGTGGCCTATTGTCCATCCTCTACTGAATGTCCTACATTTACCTCACTCTCAAAATATTAAAAACTGAATCATTCTCCCTCACAAATCTGATATTTCTCTTGTTTTTGTCTCAGGAATGGCCCCATCACTTACAGTGTCTGAAGCCTGTTGTCATTCTCTGTTTCTGCCATCCTGTGCCCACTCAGACGATCACCAACCTAAGCCCTGTCCACCTCCTTACTATCCGATACCTCTATCACCCCCAAGACTCCAGCCAGATGGAGCTATTTACAGTCCCTTGAACAAACTCTCCATCTTCTCTTGTATCTGGGGTTTTGTACCTGCTCTTTTCTTCACTCTATCCCCTTCCACAGTTAACTCCTAACATTTGAAGAGGCCTTCCCTAAGCAACCTAGACTGGGTTGGGTGCATGGCTCTGCATTCCCATAGCTTCTGGTTTATCCTTATCACAGAACTTATTACACAGTGTGGCAAGTATTTTGTTTTGCATGCCTGGTACATTTTGGAATGTATTTTATTCATTGCTATATTCTCAGCATCTAGGACCAGTGCCTTTCACAAAGAGCAAGCACATAACAAATGTTTATTTTTGTATTTATGAATACAAAATTAAATACAAATGTGTACAAATAAGTAATATAAGGTTATGCACTGACTTATTAGGGCTGCCCTAACAAATTACCTCAAACTTAGTGGCTTAAAACAATAGAAATTTCTCTCTCACAGTTCTGTAGGTCTGAACTCAAGGTGTCATCAGGGCCATTTTTACTCCGAAGACCCTAAACGAGCATCTTTCATTGATTTTTCCAGCATCTGGTGGCTCTTGACACTCCTTGGCTTATGGTTTTAAGGCCTAAGAATAGTCCTCTGTGGCTCACAGCTTCACCCTCTGGGCCCACAGCTTTGTCACTCCTGCACCTGTGTTTTTAGAGCAGCCCTCTTCCTACTTCCTTAACAGCTGCTCTGCCATCATCAGCTTCTGGGTCCACAGTTCCACCCTCCGCATCATTCTTTCTTTTCCTCGAAGGGTAGTACATATTTGAAGCTGAGTAGCTATATCAGTTCATTGTTTGCCTATAGAATTTTGGGAATCTATTCAATGTTTTTTATTTTATCTAGCTTTTGTCCCTTTCAGTCCAAGCTGAAAGTGTTTCTACTGTGGCAACAGTTCCAAACCCATCATGGTCTCCCATGTATGTCAAGAGTATTCCCTGAATTAAACAATAGAGTTCTCCACTGATTCTTCTTGAGTAAGTTCATCTCTATTCCTGGCTTCTTCTGAAATGATTGAGTGGCTCCATGAGTGGCAGGGCTAATCTCTTCAATAAAAGGTTGTCCAGCTATACCCTTGGCCTTCTCTACAGAGCACATTTTCTGAACAGTGAATTCTCTAATTTTAGCATTCTTTGTAATCTGATAGATTGGGAACTTCCCAAGCTATCAGATGTTTATTATTTTTGCTTAAAATTTTCTTTTTTTCATTTTTGAATATGTTTTTCAATTACTTATTTTTTCCCTCAATTTATATCTTTTATTTTTCCCCTTAATACAAGCAGAAAAGAAAACGAGCTAAATATCCAACTTCATTGTTTACAAGTTCTGCTTTCCATTCAATAATAGAACACAATTCAGGCAAGTTTTCTGCCAGTTTGTAAAAAAAGATTCTTTCCTTTAGTTCCATATAATACGTTCTGGTTTCCTTCTGACACCTCCTTAGAAAAGCCTTCATATTTCTACCAATAGTCTCTTCAAAGCAATGTAGGCTTTTTCTTTCATGCTTATCAAAATTCATCTAGCCTCTACCCCATACCCAGTTCCAAAGTCACTTCCTTGTTTGTATATATTTGTTACAGCAGCACCTCACTTACCAGTATGTGACGGGTATAGATTTCTTTTCTTACCGGGAAGTAAGATGCTGTTTGCTTTCTTTGTAGAAACCAATCAGATATCTACAAATGACAACAACAACAAAAACCCAGATATTATATTGGAGAGAGAAAGAGAGAGAGATTTACACCAAAAAATTGGCTTATGTGGTCATAGGGACTGGCTGGTTCAAAATCTGTAGGGCAGCCCAGCAGGGAGGAATCCACAGAAAGAGTTCATTCTACTTCAGGAAAATCTTAGTTTTTCTCTTAAAGGCCTTTCACCTAATTGAATAAGACCTATCTGGATTATCAAAGACATCTTTAATTTTTTTTTGAAACAGAGATTTCCTCTGTCACCTATGCTGGAGTACAGTAGTGTGATTTCAGCTCACTGCAATCTCTGCCTCCCAGCCTTGAGCGATTCTCGCGTTTCAGCCTCCCAAGTAGCTGGGATTATAGGCATGCACCACCATGCCCAGCTAATTTTTGTATTTTTAGTGGAAACTGAATTTCACCATGTTGGCCAGGCTGGTCTCAAACTCCTGGCCTCAAGTGTTCCACTTTCCTTGGCCTCCCAAAGTGCTTGGATTACAGGCATGAGCCACTATCCCTGGCCAAGGACAATCTTTACTTAAAGTCAATTGATTGTAGATATTAACCACAGCTTCAAAATGACTTTATAAAAACACTTACATAAATATTTAGGTAAATAACTTGGTACCATTACTATATGTCAGTGTTCTCCAGAGAAACCAAACTAATAGGATGTATAGAGATATGTAAGAGAACATTTATTACAGGGATTTTCTTATGTAGTTACAGAGGCTGAAAAGTTCCATAATCTGCTGTCTAGGAAAGTGAGTGGTGTCATTCAACCCAAGTCTGAAAGCCTGAGAATTGGCAGGGGGCTGATGTGTAAGCCCCAGTCCAAGTCCAAAAGCCCAAGAACTAGGAGGGCCAATGTCCAAGGGCAGGAGAAAATGGGTATCTCAGCTCAAGCAGAGAGAGCAAATTTACTCTTCCCTCACCTTGTTGTTCTATTCAGATGCTCAAAAAAGAGGGTGATGTTTACCCATATTGGTGAAGGCAACCTTCTTCACTTGTCTACTGATTCAAATGCTAATCTCTTTTGCAACGTCTTGTACAGTCCTCTATATGACAACGTAAAGGTATTGACTCACAAAATTGACTTATTTTACTGTCAAATCTAATAGAAAAAAATACATCGAATCATGCATGAAGTGCACATTTTGTGATTTTGTTTATAAAAGTATATAGTAAACCCCTTTGAATGAGGAAGCTAATTCAAGTCAACTAAGCTTACAAGAAATCAGTTTATAAAACCAGATATTGATGTGTTAATTTAAAATAGAACTATACTAAGTGAACTAGATGCTGCTATCCTCCTGACCATCTCTCTCTCTCTCTCTCTCTCTCTCTTTATCTCCCTCTCTCTCCCTCTCTCTCTCTTTGTAGAAAACCCTCTAGGAAACTGAATTTTCAAGAGGTTGCTTGAGGTCTGCTCTGGGTCCCAAAGGAAAGAAAATATGGAACACAGGGCTTCAGATAAGATATTTGCTATAATATGTGAAGGACACATACTATAAACAAGAAACAAACCATGATGAGTAATCCATGGAGATTTGGTAGTTGATTTTATCTATAATGAAACTTTGCCTATCCTAACTAGTAAAATGACATTACATATTTTACTTGTGATATTTACGTATGTCTCACAGTAATTTATTTAATTTTTCAAAGTTTTTGGCAAACACTTTACTGTTGCTTATTTCCAACACAATGACCCATGAAGTCATAAATAAACAAATTCTATACATATAGAATAAAGCTTCATATTTATTAAGCTAAATGATACTTACCTAGTTAACCCTAGCTCTGCATATATACCCTGAATGGCTACAAAAGACCCATTACTTCAAACACTTCCATCTAATAATCATTGCTAAATATTTTGAAAATTTCATACAGAGCTTTATTTATCATATTCTTCTATCAAAGACCTAAGAATGGGCTGGGATTGTACCCAAGAGTGTTTTGTTTGTCTGTTTTTTTTTGTTGTTGTTGTTGTTGCAGAACTCTACAAAGGGTTTAGATTAGTTCTTCCTATTTCATACATGACATCGTTCTCCTTCCCCTCTAGTCCTCAGACTTGTCCATCATCCCAGGCCCTTTAACATTACAGAAGCTATCCCACATCTGATTATATCAAGATTCAGCTTCCTATGAAGGAAAACCCTATGTGCTTGGAGATAAAAAAGATAACTTGAATCTCTTTTTCCCTTCCTCTTTCTCTACTGGAAGATCAGCAACACCTTTTTGTTCTCTTCTGTCTCTGTTTGTGGAAGAAAATGGAATTGGGAAGACACTTTGAAAGGAACTTTCATGTCAAAGACTCTGACTTGCTGGGATTGAGTCAGCCTTCATGAACATACAAAGGCAGGACATGCAGACATTTTGGATAAAGTACTTGAGACCTGTAGGTACTGTAGACACATTATATCTCATTTTTAGAGACTGGAAATTCTTAAGTCCATAAATATAATCAAGATATACATTATCTTCAATGCATAATCTTCAGTGTGATTGATTGTATTCAAAATCACAATTATAGAAAAGGAACTGGCTGCTTCTTCTAGCTTCTTGCTTTTCTTTGATAAGTTCCTTTGAGGACACTTACTTAGAAGCTCCAAAAATTAAGGCTATAAATAGCAATCAGTCACTGCAGAAGAGAGCACTACTCAGCTTAAGGCATTGGGAATGTTGCCACCATGTCACCAAGTCCTTCCCCTCGGTGTCTTTGGTTAGCATCTAGCCAATATTAGCAGCATGCAAGAAGAGCATCCCCTCCTTTGTCCTATTACCATCTTGTGGGCTTTAAGAGATGTGTTGAGAGTTATTTAAAACTTTTACAAGGGATTTATGTACTGAACGCTGCTGTTTCATGACTGTAATACACATATAGTGTTAGAATGGGCTGAGAATCCAGAAAATCTTACAAGTGATCTTTACAATTATTAGTCTCTTAGCCAAAGAGAAATCTGTTCCATGGTATCCCTGACAAGAGACATGTTAAAGGAATGAGGTCTTATACACAGTATTTAATTGCTGTGATGGCTGTCAATTACTGAGTACTTATTATAAACCAGGGAATGTGTCCTCATCAAAATCCTATGAGAAAAGTAAGTTTAGTTTCTCTGTTTTACAAATAAGGGCCTTGAGGATTAGAAGCACTAAGTAACTTAACAGATATCTCAGAATACTTGAAACTAACTCTGGCATTTTCCCAATTTCATTTTTCAAATTTCATGTAGATTTCTAATTTATAATGCTTCTAACAGGTAACCATTAAAGATTATGAAGTGGGGGGTGACATAATGAGCCTTTTAAGAAGACGGTTTTAATAGCATAGAAATAAGAGTTTATAAAAAGTCAGAGAAAGTCCTACTGTCAAAAGGGAGAAGAAACAGAATGAAAGCAGTATATCAAAGTCTAAATAATAAATGAAATAGAAAATAAGATTCTCAGAGGACAGGCGTGGTGGCTCACACCTGTAATCCCAGCACTGTGGTGGCTCACACCTGTAATCTCAGCCTTGGGGAGGCAGAGACAGGTGGATTGCTCGAACCCAGGAGTTCGAGACCAGTTTGGGCAACATAGGGAGATGCTGTCTCAAAAAANAAAAAAAAAAAAAAAAGACAAAAGAAAAAGAAAGGAAAAGAAGATTTTCACAAAATCTTAAGATTGGAGTTTAACAATAATTAAAGGGAAATATAACTGAAACATATATAATTTATTTTGATAATTCTTATGCCTTATTTCCCTTTAAACTCATTCCCCTACCTGATGTAAATAGAAATACCTGATATATTTATCCTTAAAGAAGATTCTGTGCTTTTTAGGATAGGAACTGTATCTTATCAATTTTGCTCATCTTTGTAAAGTCAATACCTGGCAGATACCTAAATGAGATATACATTAAAATATAGTTAGTTGACAAATGATTCAAAGAGTGGCCATTTCGTTCTCTATTGTTCTTCAATTGTCTTATTTTTATTAACTTAATTGACACATAATTATTGTAAATATTTATGGGGTAAAAAGTGATGCTTCTATACATGTACACCATGTGTAATGATCAAATTAGGGCAATTAGCGTATCTTCCACCTTAGACATTTCTACTTCTTTATGGTAAAAACATCAAAATCCTCTCCTTGCTATTTTAAAATATACAATACATTATTGTTAATATTGCCACTCTACTGTGCAACAGAATGCCAGAACTAATTCCTTTTACCTAACTGTGCTCTGTACCTGTTCAACAACCTCTCTTTATCCTCCCTACTCCCACTTTCTCCCTAGCCTCTGGTAACCACTAGTCTACTTTTAAGTTTCGTGGGATCAACTTTTTATGATTCCACACGCAAGTGAGATTAGGCAGTATTTGTCTTTTTGCACCTGGCTTATTTCACTTAACATAATATTCTCCAGGCTAATCTATATTGCTGCAAATAATGGGATTTCATTTTTTTATGGCTAAATATTCAACTGTGTAAATATATCACATTTTATTTTTCCATTTATACATTGAT